TAATATACAAATTTAATACTAAAAATTGCATTATTGAAGCTCGCTAATTAATGCCTAACGTATTTAATTATTATTCTTCTTATTAACATTTATTATCATTACTTACTAGTAGATTGGTGATCAAGTTAGATCTAGAGTTAAAGACTCCTTATTCTTTGTTATTGGAAGTTGAAGGTGTTTATTAAAATGAAATAAGATTTGATATCGTGTATTTTGGTGTTCTTGAGATTGCGATCGTCTTACTCATATGTTTCCCTACATCAGTTGGTATCAAAAGTCAACAGTTCAAGATGTCGTCGACGGACATCGACATACGTAATGCCACCATAGAGTATCTGAGTCGACAAGCCACGGGCTTCAGCCTCCATATCAATCAATTGGATTCATCGGGTCGAGTGAGACGATATTAATGAGATGTTAATTTAAAAAATAAATAAATAAATAAATAAATAAATAATAATAATAATAATAATAATAATAATAATAATAATAAATTATATTATTCCTTAAACTAATTGCATCACTTAATAATTGGCTAGTATAGGATCGCTTAAAATTAAAAATTACATTATCTTCAAACTTTAGTCAATCAATATAGTGATTCATATATACTTAAATAATTTATATTTATAATATTTTATATTTAGTAATAATTAAAATTTAAAAATGTGATATGTTCATTATCTAATTTGTAATTTATTATTATATTTACAAATATAATTTTTAATATTTTATTTATATTTATTCATATGCACAAGATGATTACTACTCATCTTATGCCTGCTCAAAACTCAAATGTGACTAGAGTTGTAAATTTTCTTTCAAATTGTTGATACGTACGTTATTGTTGAATTAGAGGTACGTATTACCCAACCAAACTTGCAAGTTGTGATACAACTTGCAAATTGCAATCTAATTCAGTTATATATAGATTTGGAGTCATGCAAATATTGCCGGCCCGTTTGTTTCTTCGAAATATAGACAAATCATATTATATATTGCCTAATTAACGTATGGCGAAACAACAAGGCATGGCATCAAATTGCAGTTTTCGTCTAATTAATACACGATCAAGGGAAATGCTACGGTCCCATTAATTATGATATTATCTCGTTAGGTGCTTTAATCGTTGGATCAACTATTTTATACTAACTACATGTGTATCCAACGGTTCTAACACTCGGCGGGATAGTACCGTAACGGTACCGTAGTATTTGCCCACGATTAATTCAAGCTCGTCCATGGTTTTGGCACTGTAAATAATTTACTTTACTTTACTTGTGATGATTAAAATACAAAATATAGGTGATTAATAGGATAAAAATATAATTAATTAAGTTGCTTATTTGTATGAGGAAATTAACCAAGCCAGTAGTGACAACATATATAATATGAGACTTGAAATTTACGCAATTAATAATTAATTGGCTCTACTAGTTTTGGACCAACACCATGCATATAATATGCATGCATGCATGTGCGTTACTAAAAATGGAAATAAATTTATTATTATAAGTGCACTAAATTGAAACGTTGATCTAATTATATTCAATAAAATAAATACTCCATAAGTAGAAAGAAAAGTATGTATAAAAAAAAAAAATGAGTTTTATTGGTCTTCAGTCTTCACCTTGCTTAATCAGCTATATATGTTGGTTGAAATGAATTAATATTGTCCAGCAACTATATTATACAGTCTCCATTTTTATGCACAACTCTTATCTTTTCTTCAGGCACATTTTATGAACTTCTGTTAGATCCAGAAATCTCTCATCCATACCTGCAGCTTCCCATCATTTCCCTTTGAAAAACCGATCATTAAACGATCCACAACTATTTCATTTATTCACACCTATTTGATTCTTACTCGACAATGCCGCATGCATAATGTAATTCTTATTTCCATATATATGACACAACATGAAATTCTGCTGGAATTGCTTCCATGTTTTCAGTAAAAGTATTAATTAATTACCTTAAACCTTACAAAACACACGCGCGCTCGAACCTATAAATAGCTACCCGAACTTCCTCCAATTTCCTCAACCCAACAATCCAACTATAATTCAAGCTAGCAACATTTATCAATTGCTAGCTATGACTTCCTTCAAAAGAATGAGTTTGCTCTCTTTCCTTTGTTTGCTCTGGCTAGTGTTTGAGCCGAGAATGAGTTCGGCCAATCCAGGATTTGTTCAGACGAGGGGTACTCAATTTGTTTTGGACGATTCCTCTTTTATGTTCAACGGGTTCAACGCTTATTGGATGATGCACGTTGCATCACAGCCGAACCAAAGAGACAAAGTGTGTAATGTATTTCGAGAGGCTGCAGCTGCCGGTTTAACTGTGTGCCGAACATGGGCGTTTAGTGATGGAGGAGACGAAGCTCTTCAGATATCACCGGGTGTCTATAATGAATATGTGTTTCAGGTATCTATACATACAAAATGAAATCGATCTTTATAAATCCAAAGTTGCAATTTAGCCTCATGACTCAGAACCATCTTATAATTGGCTACTTCTTGCAGGCACTTGATTTTGTGGTCTCTGAAGCTGCTAAGAACAAAATTCGTTTGATTTTAAGTTTGAGCAACAATTACCAAGATTTCGGAGGGAGGACTCAATACGTAAGTTGGGCGAAAAATGCTGGAGCCCAAACGAGCAGTGATGACGATTTCTACACTAACGAGGTTGTGAAGGACTACTACAAAAAACATGTTCAGGTAACTTATATATATATATCAAATCAAATAATGTCGATAAGTTCTTCCAAAGTCTTCTAATGAAGATATTTGATCTTACCTTGAACAGAGAGTACTTAACAGAATCAACACGATTACGGGAGTTGCATATAAAGATGATCCCACCATCATGGCTTGGGAACTCATAAACGAGCCTCGTTGCCAGGCTGACTACTCAGGGGATACTGTGAATGTGAGCCAAGAAAAAGAATCACTACAAGAAAACACTTCAATTCCAACGAAAAATTCCAACGGAAAAATTACCGTTGGAAATTCTAATGAATATTCCAACAAAATTAATTTTATGTTGGAAAAAGTGTTGGATGGTTGAGAAATTCCAACGGATTTTTTCCGTTGGAATAGCTGTAGGAATTTATTTCCATAGGATTTTCCGTTGGATTTTAGCTATTCCAACGGTCATTTTTCCTACGAATTTTTATACGTAGAAATATCCGTTGGAATACCTATTCCAACGGATATATAAAGAATTCCAACGGAAAATTTCTTTTGGAATGTAAGAGGTTTTTTGTAGTGAATGCGATATGATTTAGTTTTCATGATTAATTGTCATATCTCCTTTTTCCTTTTAAAATGTTTTACGTTAAACTTTCTATGACAGGCTTGGGTACAAGAAATGGCCTCACACGTCAAATCCATCGACAGTAAACACCTTCTAGAAGTAGGCATGGAAGGTTTCTACGGAGACTCTTTTCCGGACAGAAAGCAGTACAACCCGGGCTATCAAGTCGGCACAGATTTTATCACTACCAATCTTATAGAGGAGATCGATTTCACAACAATCCATGCATACCCTGATGCATGGTAAATGTACTTCATTTATTGTATTAGATATATATTGTGTAAAGTATACTAAGATTAATTTTAATACCACAGGTTACCGTCAGAAGACGATGATGCACAGATGGTATTCATGAGACGGTGGATGACGAGCCACTGGCGAGACTCAAAGACCCTTTTAAGAAAACCGATGGTTTTCACCGAATTCGGAAAGTCGAGCAAAGATAAAGGATTCAGCGTGGCATCAAGAGACTCGTACATGAATGCGGTTTATGGAAGCCTTTATAGTTTCGCTAGAGGTGGAGGGATAGGTGGAGGATTGGTTTGGCAGCTTCTGGATGAGGGAATGGAATCGTATTCAGATGGGTACGAGATTGTCCTGTCTGAGAGTCCATCGACAAGCTCGATTATCAGCCAGCAATCGAGGCAGATGACTGCTCTGCAACACATGATGAGCAGGCCATGAATATCTGTTATGAAAATGAAATTATCGTCGTTCTTATATTAAGATATAGAGATGATAGCAATATTATCGACGTGATGGAGTTATATGTGTTTTTATAAGTAGTAGAAAACGGTGTCACGTGATAGCTGTTCTTGTAACTTCACTTGTGGCATTTTTCTGCAAGCTGATATTGTGTTTGGTGAAGTTTTCAATGAGAATTTGCGATTCGTGACCATTGTTTTTTGATTATTACATTTGGTTTGTTTCAAGTACTCGGATTCATGTGGAGCATTCAGAACTCGTGTAGATTATCTTATGAGGTGGTGTAGTGATGGAAGAAACGACTTAACCAATAAATGATGGGTTGAGGATGAATAAATAGATTAAATTAGCAGACATGAACTAATTTTACAGTGTTTCATATCTTGTTTAACCAATGAATCATGAAATGAGGATGAAGAAAGAAATATACGGGAGATGCATCCCTTTACGAAACCATTCCGTCGAGATTTGTAAACGTTAAATCAACTATCCCCGACGGTTACATGATGATCCAAGTATCCAACGGCTACAAACCTTGACGGAATGAACCGTAGTATTTCCCGAAATGTACATTAAATATAGTGAATAGTTATCGAATGCACAAACGTTAAAAACACTCTTCGCATCAACACATCGAGTAATTAGTAATTACACTCAACAAAATCAACTCAAATTTATTAATTATATTTGGTCCCCCCATTAATGTATGCCGCCCCTGTTCACGAATACAATCATTGACTAGACGAAACAAAAATCTTTAATAACAAAACAAAAGGCGTTGCTAAGCTACAAACAAAATCACAAGCTACACGGCCGTTCTCAACTTTCGGACAATCCATATCAAGAACTGAAAAATACGTGAACTTTTTTCCGCTTTAGCTGTATAAAAGTGACTAATCTACAAATGTTCCTGTACCTCCACATACAATCCGCTGGGACAAAAATCAATGAACAAACCGTTCCAATTCAGCAACAAATCACAGTAAGTCCAACAGAGGTGGCTTCTCATTTTGAGATCCTGAAGTGGGCCCCATTTGCCCTCGATTTCCCCTCCCCCGCCCCCCGACTCTACCAACAGCAGTCGCCGGTGGTGGGGCAAGCCTTGGCGCGATATTACTCTCGTTCTTGTTAGAAGCAAATATCGACTCCAAACTCGCCACCTTCTCATTGGAAGATGGAAACCCGATACTTTGCTTCATATACCCGAGAGAGTTCTGTGAGCCCATATTATTACTACCGACACTCGAGGAAGAACCAATTCCTTGAGTCTTGTGAAAGGCCCACGATGCAGATTGATGGCCCAAACCGTTTGAGGTATTTGTGCTATTAATGCTGGTTCCAAAATTGTTGATCGATAATGCTGTTGTACCATTGTTGGAAACACTCGGTGGTCCACTCGGCCTCGGTGGCCAGTTGGCGAAAGGATCTATATCGTCCAGGCTTGAATCAGGCGTGTCCTTGTTGTTCGCGTTCAGATTTTCAAATTGAGTAGAGGCACTCGACGATCGAGGTGGCCACTCCACATCAACAGCCGGGCAAGACGAGGGCAGGGGAGTGGAATATCCAGAGGGGTTGACTTGAGCGGGTTGACTTTGTACTGTGGGCTGAGAAGCTGATGTGGCGGTCATAGGTTGGATGGATGTATGGGCTGTCCTTGCAGGTACCCAATCTTCATCCCATGATGAACCGCGCCTGGTAATAGATGGGGCAGTGGAGACATTTTTGTTTATCTGCCCGGAGGATGTAAGATTGTCAACCGAATGCGATGGTCTTGCTTCCGGGAATCCAGTGTCCGTCAAGGTTACGCCTCGTTTTTCCTCTATTTTTCTGTTAAGGAGAAGGTAAAATCAAATTTTGGATTAACTAAATGCTAAACATGGAAAAAGTGTCGAAAGATCCAAGTAATTTCTGGAAGAGGGTAATCCTACCTTAACACGTCCTTGACAAAAGCCATATATTTTGCGAACTGCTGGACATTTAATTGTTGGGTGATGAGGAGGGGTGTGATTAGTGGAAGGACATGTTCCGCTACAAATTCAATGCCGTACTGTTGTAAAAGAAAACATAAAAAGACATGGCCACGGAAAATCATGAGCACATATAATTGTTCTAACTACTTGAATTTCAAATATATTTGGAGCTCATAGACACTGTATCGGAGTATCAAAAGCTTAAGACACGATATTGTCGTTCGTAATAGCAAACATGACTGAATTGAATTTGACAAACCTGCTTCAAGATTGAGTTTGCAACTCCAAGGGTACACATAAGAGTTGGAGCTGAATGGTCTACAGCGGTACATCTTTGGATAGTTTGCAAGACATCTAAAACGGCAGTCTTATCTAGTATGTGAACCATGTCACTGAAGCATAAGAGAGCATTCACTCTCACCTGACAAAAAAGGAGGTACCTTTTAGACAAATACAGAACTTGTTTTATTGAAGAAGAAAATAGTCAAAATTTTGTGATTTTTTTCAAGAATATAACGGAATTCTGGAATAATATGCTGTCCAATATTCATTTGATGGTGGAATTTATTAAGCAAAAGGTTATCTTACTGCAGCAACTGTTGTTTTAAGTGCCAAGCCGTGAACTCGAGGCAAAATAGTTTGCTTGACTAGCTGCAACGAAGAAAAGGAACAGAGAGAATGAGTGCAAATAAAATTGCAAGTGGTATGACTAGCTCCATACCACTTTCACGCTGGTTTGGTTCCCCAGGAAAAATCAGCCATATTAAAAGACAATAGTATAATTATATCGAAAAAAATGCACATGCTCTGATCTTCTTCCATGCATCCTCAATATAGGCGTCACAGAAGATGAGTAGAAAGCTCATCAATCAGAATAGAACTGGCAATCACCTGGACATCAAGTTGTTTTGCCAGCGGTGTGGTTTTTTTGAGAACTTCCTCTTGCAAGCGCGCATCAGCATCATCATAAGCTCGAACAAGCATGGGCAGTACATGCAAAACAAGGTGTTCTTGACTAGCCTGCCAGGAAGAACACAACACGGCCTCACAATAGCTACAAAATTCCCATTGCTGAAGAAAAAGTTCGTGTAAAGATTGAAAATAAGCCTAACGAAGTCTTTCAGTACCTTGTTTATAATAAGCTCTGCGTGCTTCACAAGTAGCAATAATGTCTCACCTGCAGCTGAATTGAAGACAGGCACAAGGGCTGGTAGAGTTGATAGCTCAAAATCATTTTTATCCTGAAGCAAATTATAAAATCACATTCAAACCCAATGGCAGCCTTGGCAAAATCATCAAATAATGTCATATATAGTATGAAATATGAATAGGTGTAGTATGCGAACACAAAAATACATCAATCATTAGAGTTAAACTTCTTATATAACATAAAGGAAGCAACAATAGTCAGTGACACGTATTTCTTACACTAACCATCAACCAAAAACAGAGTGTTACATTTCCCCTACTGGCTACTGCCCTACACTAAACTAGTCTTTTTGCTGTTTCATTAAATTCCAAAAAAATAACTAATGCAACTGTCAAACCAGAAATTTAAACCCATAAGCATATTTAAGTAACATTATTTAATATGTATGACAAGGAAATAAAATACTAACTTGAAGTACAGTCGTAGATTCATTAATATCGTACCTGCGACTCAGCTATAGTGAGGACCATAGGCAGAATCATAGGTTGCATTACAATATTTCGGAGCTCTGCACAAAGTGGGGGGAGAACCTGTATGCATAATTTGAGACAAAGTTCAATTTATTAAACTTCTTTGGATGCAATGAGAGATACAACCAAGAACAGTATAATGAAATGCTCTTTTCCTCATTTACAAACATCGCAGACCACAAAACGATTTATTTAACAGATCAATACATCAGTTCAGGTTCATGGTAAGATTTAAGAAGTGACTTCACGAGTTGAGATAATTAATCCAAATCAATAGTTGAATGCATTTTCATCTCCATCATTTTTTCTTTTTCACCCAAATGTAGGAACAGTAAACAGAGCATATACAAATTTATAGTAAGAGAAGATATGAACCAAAAACGCGTACCTTATATCGCAATACACGGGAGTCGAAATCTTTCCACATGTCCGCAAGTGCTTTCAGAAACTCAGATTTTTGCATGTTATCTCTCTCCTGAAAACAGTAGCACGTCAGATTTCATAGATTAGAGTTGTACCGTATGCCTAAGTAATATGTCACAATTGAGAAAAGAGGTAAATTGCGTACAAGCATGTGATCAAGAAAGCGAAGTGCTCGCAACCTAGTATCCTGGCGGAAGAAAGGTGAACCTGGGAACACAGAAGAGAAATCTTGTAATAGATAAACAAAATATAGAGCAAATGTTTAGTTCCAGCTTAATACGCAAATCAACAAAAATAATAAACCTAAATAAAAATAAGATTATATCACTTACTCATTCCTAGTGATTCACCCATACATACAACACATAAACTTCATGTGTCTAGTAATTTTAAACAAGATAGGGAAAAGGTTATAACCAACTGGCACCAAACCTCACCTGTAAAATCCGTTGCTGATGGTCTTGAAGTCTCATTCGTCGATAACATTCTTTGTAAATCTTGAACCAGATCCCTCGGAATAGCAGAGAAGGCTTCACTGGTTAGGTAAGTCAGACTGTTCGTGTACTGCGAAATATTAATTGTAATCGAAAAATATGATTTACTCTCCATGCAAAAAGAAGCTTATCAAATGCAAACAACAACAACAACAACATAGCCTTTTAGTCCCAAACAAGTTGGGGTATAAAACAAGTTGGGGTATAAAACAAGTTGGGGTATAAATGCAAGAGTACAATATCTCCGTACTAGTAAAGCTCATCCCATCAAAATATCTGAATCAAGTACTATATTTTTCGTTTATCCCTAGTTCTTTTTTTAAGAATAAATCTTCCAAATAATATGTCAATAGATCTGCTAAGAAGCAATCCACCAAAAAAAGTGTGAAGTATTACACAAGTGTATCTGCTATGCAATCTAAACATATAAAATTATAACATATTCAGTCCAAGCTAGAAACTTGGACATAATGCATAAAGTTTTTGCAGTTTTGGCCTACTTCTGAAACCACAAGAGTTTAGCAACATCAAACTAGAGTCTAGATAGTGCAAAGTAAATGATCACTGGAAGCAAATATAATTAGCAGAATATATCATAATTCATAAAGCAAGCTCAGCTATATTCGCATATAAGATAACAGAATCATTCAGCAACACAGTACACAACAAAGTCAGGGAAATGTAAAATACCATTTTCACATTGTTGTGGCAATCAAATAAGGGCTTCCGAGCTATCAAGTGGTACGCAAGGCACCCAAAGCTGAAAATATCAGAGGCAGACCCAACTGAAGATGTCTTACTCCTAACCAATTCAGGAGCAGTGTAGTTTATAGAAGGCTGCAAGGGCAGGATTGAATCTTCTACATCGTATTCCTGTTAAACCAAATCAAGTTCAACACACTTCGTATCACTCAAATTGCGCTATGTATCACTCAAGTTATATTAAAGCTGATAACTTTGGACATAAAAACGAACTAGTAAGAGGACACTCTCATCAGCGGTAGAAAAATATGAAGTGCCTATTAAGATAGTAAAACCTCTCAAACAAATTACTATAAACCAGACACACTGTTTATGCATTCACTATTCACCATAATTCCACCCAGATATTGGGCAACATACTGGCTTTCTTTGTCAATTAACAACATTAATGACCACTATCTCACAATACCGTCTTATTCCTAATTAGGGAATATAAAACTGTAAATGAAGTATAGATCTTATTAAATCCATTGATAAGTAGCACCATGAGATATTGTGAAATAGGTGAACACTACACTAACCAAAAGCAGAAAATGTGAAATTCATTCAGATTTCAGAGTGAAAGTATAACTTATATAAAACAAGATTCAAGAAGCAATGAGTGGAGACATATCTATTTACGAACTTCAATAAATGTATTACTCACAGCATAATGGAATGCCTGCATGCTAGCAGAATCATTGGCCTGGTCTGTTGAAATTGCAAAACCAAAACCACCAAGCTTCCAAGCTCCATTTGCAGTAATGAGCACAGTCTATCACAGCATAAACGTCAAATCAGTTCAGCCAAACAACATAACATGCCATTCCAAGACAACTACGACAGATAAATGCATATTATACATTCTTTTTTTATCAGTACATATTATACATTCTTGTCTTCAAGCCAGCTCAATCAGATCAACAGCTCTATTATGTTCACCTTCTTCCCATTATATACTGCACATATGCTTTTCCAAATATATAGTGGAAAACATGCATAGGCCAACAGATCATTATTCTTCATCCTCATAAATATAACACAAACAGATTTAAAAAGAAAATATGACTCACCGTACAGATGCTTTTACAAAAGTACAACAGAACTAATAAACAAAGATTAAAGTTTTGAATCATATGTTTGTGTCTCTAGGCAAAGCATCACCACCACTCTTTCTTACCATGCCTACTCAAATGTAAATGAAAATTGGGGATCCAAGAAGGTATGTATGAAAATTAAAGATGATAAAAATGAATGAAAAATTTTCAACTCAAAACCTTCTAAAAGAAGAGGGAATTCCTAACAAAATGAACTACTAAGATCATTACCTCAGGCGATAAAGCTCTATGGATGAGGCGGGCATTATTATGAAGGAAGTCCAATGTCTCTGCAATTTGGAGCAGGCCATGCTTCACCTCCAACAATCCCATTTCCTGCAGCAGAGTACATTCATACACTCGGAAGTTCCCAGAAAAATTGGGAATATAATCGACGAAAATGATATCCAACTCAAATAACATGGATTATTATAACAAGCACCACTGAAAAGAAACGTTAACCTTCAAATCGAGATAAGTAATCCAAAGTTGGAAAAGATACAAACTCCATGTTGCTATGCTCAAATTTGTCAATAGGAGGAACTACTTATACTGATAGCTATTTTAGCACATATACATCCAATATATATACACACATACATCAGATTACGGAAACTTCAAGTTGTTGACAAGATAATCTATAAATACTTACACTGATGAATTCAATGAATGAACTCAAGATAGTCCACTACTATAGCAATCTATTTCTAGTTTAACAGACTGGCTGGATGGTAGCAAATTTTGCTTTAGTCACCGTAGTCCTTGGAACATCAAGAAAATCCAAAATACTCGGCGCCATTTGCCATAAAACAGAAATTCACATAGAAAAAACACGATCTTTTGAGCTACTCTATGTCCCAGTTGGTCATCGTCATAGTTTATTTAAGTTAAACACACAAAAGGCAGAAATTCAGTCAGTGACATCAAATGCTAGCTCACAAAAGTTTCAGCACAAAGTCCAAATAGAAGAAAACCAGATCGAAAAATCATTCCTTGACTTAATCAACTTAACAAAAACTTAAATTGAAATGAAACAAAAGGTCATACCATCCCCTTAAGCTCCTTAGGCACCTTAGGAATGTTCTCCACATTCCCCAGCGCATTTGCGGCTGATGCAAATAGCGGCTCAGTGACCATAGCCATGGCATTCTTGCTTTCATCGAGCGCCTGGACCACGTGAACCACGCCGGGGTGCCTCAGCCTCACTAGCCGGGCCGCATCAGCTCGAATCACATCCAGGAACGCATCCTCAGCTGCTTTGGACAGCCCCGCTCGCTGCCGCGCCTCCGTCAGCGCTTTCTTATCCAACACCCAAACACAGACCGTCGGATAGGCGGCCGGCAGGTGGCCGTCGCGGGACTTGGCTGAGTACAATTTCCAGGCCAAGCCAGGGCCGGCGGTGCCGATCTGATCGTTTATGTCGTAGTCCTGCATCGGCCTAGGTAGACCTGTCACTTCTTGCACCGTGTTCTGCACGGTCTTCTCGATGACGGCCGACGCTTTAGCGAAGGCCTGCGACAAGGTTTTCATGTTGATGGACATGGTTGAGGTTCGGATGAGCAATTCGAGGCCGTTCCAAGAGGTTGTAGGTGGAGATGACAGCGGCGGGAGTGGTGGTTGGCGGTGGTGGAGGTGATCGGAGATTCGGATGCCAGATCTCAAACCCCTCTTCTCTCTCTCTCTCTCTGGCTGTTGAAGAAGATACGCGCGTGGCGTGGGTATTTTTCTCTTTTTTCTTCTTTATAAAATTTAAGGGAATTAAATGCCACGTCGGAAATTTTCGGGAAATGGAGTCTAGATGGCTTTTGGGTTTACTTGTGTCTTGCGCCTTGTATATGTTTGGTTTGTAAAGGTGGAGTAGTTACAAGTCAACCGTCAAAATGAAATAATTACGTCAAGATTATTAAAACAATTGGTTAATTTAAGTAGTAGTTTCTGCTATAGATAAATAGGAGTAATATAAGTCAAATTGCTATAAACATTCGGTTAATTTGATATTTGAATCATCAAACCGATAGCATATATGAGTAGATAAATAGTAATAAGACGAAGAGGATTTAGCGCAGTGGCGCATATCTCGCTCGACGTATTCCATATCCCGAATTCGAGTCACTGATAGGAGAATTGAAGAACTAGTATTAATCCTCCTGTGTGTGTAAAAAAAAATATAGTAATAAAACAACGATATATGAAAAACATTTTATTTCAATTTGTCATTTAATATCATGAAGATACACAGGTGTTTCTTTCATCATACTCCCTCCTTTTTTAAATAAATGTCGTTTTGACTTTTTTGATTCATCCATTTTGCTATGTATCTAGACATTTTTAATGTCTAGATACATAGCAAAATGGATGAATCAAAAAAGTCAAAAACGACATTTATTTAAAAAATGAGGTAGTATCTTATTTTAAACATTTGAATGTATAATAAATTATTAGATATACTGTCCCTGCCCTAAAAAACTCTTCCCGACCTACAAACGTTGATCCTTCCTTTTATATGCATTTTAGTTGACTATCCAAGTCCAAGAGGTAGAATTTGTGAGGAACTAACTAGCTACACCGTTAAAACTTTTGAGGAAGAGCTTTGCCGTCCTTGTAGTCCTACCCGGCTCGATTTCAAATTAGTCGGTTCCGCTGTAGATCCGGAAACCGGAAGGTCCCTGTACAAAAAAAAAAAAAAAAAAAAAAAAAAAAAAAAAAAAAAAAAAAACTAGCTACACTAATATGTTTACTGTTTGTTATTCTGCCTACTTAGAATGGGATGGTAGACCGTGTGAACAACGAAACCATGCATGATATTTTGATAATTTGAGTTAGTTGAATATAGGAAAATTTTTACACCTCCTACACGATTTAAACTTATTTGTGCTTTTACTGCTGCAACAAATTTAATTGCATATTTATCTAAACTACCAAATTAATTGGAGAATTTCTTAATTTAGTTACCATACAAAAAACTACCCCCCAAAAAATTGTTGATGATCTGTTACGAAGAATTCCTCAGAAAGATCCCAAAATTCTGTCATCTTCCTCGGCAAGAAGGAGAGCCACCAATTTTTTGGCCACGAGAAGGTCGTGCGCGCCGACGAGGAGAGCACCAAAAACCACGATTTCAGGTGAGGAGATTCGAGGGCACCCGAGATGCACAAGTTTCGGCGAGTACCAAGAGCACTATACGCGGCGGTTCCTGGCAGAGGTGAAGGGGAAGCGAACTCGATGGCAGAGGGCGTCATCAACGGGCTAAAGCACACACACTTGTTTCATAGGCGGGGGATGAATCTAGAGGTGTTCTTCAAGTACTTGTTCGGGGATGCTAATCCGCTGTTGGATCTGAAAATTGGATTAGTTTTTCATTATTACTGTTATCGAGAGGCACAAGTTTTCAGTTTTGTTTTGTCTTCTCCCGCTTGTAGTGTAATTGTGACATCTTGACGGGGATTGAATCTCGAGTGTATATCTTAGGTATAGTTTAGGTATATGTGGGTTCTGAATCGATTTTGATGAACGATTGAAACTCAAGTGTATATTTAATGTATATTTTATGTGTATGTGTGTCTCGATCTATCGCTGGCTTGAATTACGAGAATCTCGAGTGTATATTTTATGTACATGTGTTGTTTTGTATTCATTTTTTGTTGATGAATAACTTGGTGTTCTTCTGGCCATGATTGAATCCGTTTTGACGAAAAAGTTTTATGAGGATAATTGGCGAACACTTAGTTTTCTTGATTCGTTGATAGATAGTTCTATTTTGTACATATTGTGGATATATATTGCGGGTATATGCAATATATTTTTGGGTATGAAAATAAATATGTTTTGGGGTATAAAAATTATGTACATGAATTATACATTACCATCAGATATGAAAATTTACATGTTGCGGGTATATACAATATATATCAATGTTGTACAAACACACATGTACATAAAATATACACTCGAGATTCTCGTAATTTAAGTCAACAACAGATCGGGACACACATATACATAAAATATACTTTAAATATACACTCGAGTTTCAACTGTTCCTCAAAATTGATTTCAAAACCCACATATACCTAAAATATACCTAAGATATACACTCGAGATTCAATCCCCGTCAAGATGTCACAATTACACTACAAGCGGAAGAAGACAAAACAAAACTGAAAACGGGTGCCTCTCGATAACAGTAATAATGAAAAATTAATCAAATTTTTAGATCCAACAGCGAATTAGCATCCCCGAACAAGTACTTGAAGAACACCTCCAGAGTGCTTTAGCCGGTTGATGACGCCCTCTGCCATCTAGTTCGTTTCCCCCTACACCTCCGCCAGGAACCGCTGCAGTTCGTCAGCTTCCAGAACATATATAACCGTCGCGAAATTCTCAATCCGAACAAACAATTAACAAATCGAACAAAGGAACACGTGATTGGAATCAAACAATGGAAACCGCGATCCTCAACCTTTTTCGATCTGCAAACCTCGACAACCGACAATCTCACCTTCGAGCTCTATTCGGTGACCTTCGACGGGCCCCGACCTCCAATGGGTTGCGACCTTCGCAAGCCGACCGCCGCCCACCCCGTGGCCAGATGCCCTACACGGGTGCGGGAAGAAATTATTGAAATTTAGGATTTGATTGTTGGGAGAATTTTGGGTTTCTGTGAGTTGTAGAAGAAAGAAATTTGGAGATCGGTGGAGGAGAAAGAAGATATTTAGGAATGACGGGGAAGTGGGCGGTGGGGTGGTTTGGATAATGAACTTTACTTTTTGATTTCCCCTTGTTTTGGGAAGAGGATATTTATTATCACTTAATTATCTCATTATCACTAAAAAAATATTAGTAACGGTTAAGTGTGTTTTAGGTACAATTGATAATATTTTAGCTTCTTTAGGTAAATTTAAATATAAGTATAATACAAGTCTAACGCTCGCCCGACTGAAAACCGCAGCTAGCACGACTTCCTCCACCGGTCGAACGCTTGAACCTGCACAAAACTCTCACACCGGAAGTGTTCTCCGGTGAAGAGCCTCCAACGCTCAAGTCAGATCTTGAGAGATAGAAAATGTGTCTCTGAAATTATGAGAAAATCAGAAGTTATCTAAAAGCGATAATCCTCGTCCCTATTTATAGGGACGAGTTACCTGTTGGCCACGCGCGATTAGGCGAGTCTCGCCCTCCATCCTTTGCTCATCCGTACGGTCGCGCGTCTCCACTTTCTCCGGTGTCAGAAAATGCGTCAGCTGCGCCAGAGAATGTCAGAGTTCGTTATCCCTTGGCCCATTCACACAACGCCGCGTGTCCACCTTCCATGTGACGGAGATCCTTTGGCATATTCTGGCCGTCGACCAGATCCGTCCATGTGTCCTCACGTGTAACTGCTCCGGAGACAAGAGACGATTGGTCCTGTGCCTGTACTCGCTGGAACGTCCCTGCTCGACCAGGTGCTAGAGTTTCTATGGACCTGTTGGTACTGCTCGACCACACCCATACGCTACTCTTTGGAGTGTCCTCCGAACCGGTCTAGTATATAATATCCCATATCATCTAGTCCCCCCACTCTGGTCGAGTCTAAATGACTCGATCTAAGAGTAGTCTTTTGTGTCGACGAACCTCATCCTGCTATCTTCGACCATCCGATACAATTCCCTCGTCGTATCGACCATTGTTTTCCGGCTATCAGTTCTGTGTACTTTTCAAATTTTGAATTCTGCCAGTTGTCCGCTTTCTTGGGTGCGTCCTTTCGCCTGTCAGAGGTCATGATGACCTCGTGATTCGTGCTTCCTCGAATATCGTTCCTGTTCCCCACGTCTTTCCTTTCTTTGCCGTTGGATTATCTGCCTTAATCCTACGGCTCTTGCTCCCCCGTCCGTTCGGC